GTTAGTCGCCGAAAAGAAGTTATGTGTTCAATATGTTGGTATAGAATATCAAGTTGCCAATATTCTAACCAAGGCACTTCCAAGTTCCAAATTTCAAACTCTCAAAGCCAAGTTAAAGTTAATTGCTGAGGTTGGTAATGAGCTAGATAAAGGTCTTTATGAAGATAGTATTTTGCTTACTGAAGATGAAGATTTAATCAATTTTAATTTTGATTTTGGAAGCAGTAGCCGCTCTTGATGAGTCTCCTGGAAGCACTTTTTATTCTAATTTCAGGATTCAAATTCTCAGAGTCAAGATTAGAAGCAGCAAAGCAGCTGTTGAGTTACCAATTCATAGATTCATGAATGGCTGGTGTTCTGGTGCTCTTGTGTCGACTGGTGTTCTGGTGCTCTTGTGCCTTATTCATTGTTGTGGCCTAATTTTTTAGGTTGAGGAGTTTTTCACAAGAAAGGTGTAATTGCACTTTGAAGTGACAATATGAGGTTCATCTTAAGGGGAAATATTAGCATATGCTGATATATTATGATATCCAGCTTAAAGGGAAATGTTAGTGTATGCTGGTACATTACCATGTCTAGTTTAAGGGGAAATGTTAGTATAATAGGATGAGTTTGTAAGAGTTAAGAATAATACATGTTAGTTTGTAAAATGGTTACGAGGTGTACTTTGTAAGAAAGTAAAAGTAGGTTCTTAAACATCAAAACACTACCGTTTTGATGTTATGGTTTAATATAAAACAAGCCAGCCATCTCCATGTACATTTATTCATTCAGTTAGAATATCCAACTAAATTTTTACAGAATTCTCCTCTTTACTCTTTCTATTTTCTTTTTGCTTCATGATTCCAAAGTCATTCAATAGTGGTTCAGAGCTTTGTCCACAAATCGTCTACATTCACTTCTTCAAGGCAACCTCCTTGAAGTTTCACTAGAATCGGATTGCTCTCTTTACACTGGTTTTACAGGATTTCTCCCCTTACAATAGTTTGATAGGATTTTTTCTCTAGATTTACAGGATTTCACCTAGAAGATCTATGAAAAATAGTTTGTGACTGATTACCTCTCAAACTAGGCTTATACACACAATAAGAACAAATATACTCTCAAAGGTTTTCAATATGAGTACAAGAAAGAATTAATTATATGAAGTAGCTCAAGGGATTATGTGAGAATGTTCTTGATGATAAGACTTTTCTTTCTCTGATATTCTCTTTGTCTTTCTTGCAATAAATCACTCTATTTATTGCTTGTCTCTCCCTTTTGAAATAAAGAGTCGATGTTGCATTTAATGGCACTTCTGAAAAGCTGTAGTACCCAAAAGAACGATCGTTCCATTATCAAGAGCTGTCATTCCTAATATAACAGATACTTTTGCTCAGCTCTAGGGTTTATAGAATGATCATTCGACCATCGCAAATGGTCATTCCACCATTGCAAACAATCATTCCACTATATGGAACGGTCGGTCCATTAGCTCCTCAAAATCTATGAAAATTCCAGAAGCATGAACAACTTCCTAGAACATTGTCGTTCTACCAAGGAACGATCTTTAGTTAAGTTTTAGTTATATGACATGGTCGTTCTCGTTGTAACACTTGTACTTCAAATTTGATCTTCAAGACTGATCTTTAAAATTTGTCAAAGGCGCGAAATCATTTGAATTTGAACATCTTGACTTTTGACTTGGTTGGAACGGTCATGCATGTCACTTTGAGCGACTTGACATGATTTTGGCAGAAGCATGAACGATCTCTTGGAATGAGGTCGTTCTATGAGGAACGTCCATCTAGGTAACTTATGAAACAAAGAACGGTCGTTCCTTCTTCTTGCACGATCATACTGTCTGGAAAAAATACATTTTTGTTTTGGTTTTGAGTCTTGTTGTACCTTTGTATGTTTGTTAAATTTCAATTAACTTTTTGATTAGTTTTAATACATCAAAACACGAGGGCTCAACAGCTTCAAAGGCACATGGTAAGCTGTGCTTCAAATTTACTATTTGTGAGCTCCGCATTTTTTTCTAGTATTCAAGAGAGGTTTTGGGAAGTAGCAATCTTTTCTATTTCAGTAGGTTCTGGGAGAGTTCTGCAGCAAATGCAGGTGTACTGGAAATAAAGCTTGGGCCTGTTGGAGTTGCAGTTGCAAAAGTCTACTTTTTTCTGCTAGTAGGGAAGATGGGTCTTAGCGATGTGGTTAATTCAGATAGGTGATTGGGTTGTTGCAGGCTACCCTGGAGAAGTCTGGTATTGGCAAATTTTCCAAGAGTTACACCTTGAATGTTGTAGTTTATGGCGGTTTGTATAATGTTTTGGTGAGAAGTCCAGTATTGGCAGAATCTTTTGGAGATGTAGCTACAATGCAGCTGGATTGCTACAAATTTTGTGTGGTTTTTTTTTTTTTTTTTTTTTTGGCTCTTTTCTATACAGGCTTTTAGGGGACATTTTCATATTGTTGTTGTCTTGTCTGGTGTTGCAACTGGATTGTTGCATATTATACAGTTGGTTTGCAGTTATTGTAATGCTTATTTTGCTGGAAAAATTGCAGCAAATTTACCGTATCTGTTTTTCTTTCTTTTTGTTCTTGACTGGATTATATTATCATCTTATCAAACATGAGAAGAAACTTGTTCTTAATGAGGGCAAGTTTTGGATTGGGAAAACTGAAGAATTTGTAATTAAAAGAAATTGTGCCTTGCAAGCTAGTACTGCCACAGGTGATTCGAGCTCGAGCTCAAGCCCCCCATAAATCTATTAAGCTCAAGCTCAACAATTGAAGCTCATCGAGCTCGAGCTCGAGCTCTAACTATTCCAATCAAGCCAAGCTCAAGCTTCTCAATACCTGACTCGGCTTGGCTTGATTACACCCCTAGCCAAAATTAAAAGACTGGGGGTTATATGTAATTATTGTTTTTCTTATGCTACCTGCTAAAATGAGAAACATATGGAGGTTTTCTACATAATTAACCCCTTTACCTGTTAACTTAAATAAAATTTTATTAACAGCAAGGGGTTTTTTTTTCGTACTTTCAGAAAATTGTTATGCCACTTGATACTTTCCAATCTCTCAGGTAGATGATGTTAATTCTTTTGGAATCATATTTGTTTCATAAGTTGATTTTTAGCCTGTATAATATTTTATATACCCCCACTTATGAATACACTTTAATAAATTGATTCATATTAACTAATTACGTCCATTAATAATTTAATAATAATAAACTAGAATTGCTAGCAGTTGTTCCGAAACAGTCAACTTTGCCTCCTACGACAGAATGATACTAGATATGCATGTTGATGATTCCACCAATATCAGAATGATCGACTCTAATCATTTTGATTCCTATGGTGTCATCCTAATTTGTTCTTAGCATTTTCCTGGTTCACTCTTATTAGATATAAAAGGCTTGAAGTGTAGCTCGAATGTTAGAATGAGTTTATTTTGTAAAGTTTTAAAGTAAGGAGCAAAACGTAGCATTTGGGTTCAAGTTGCTTATCCAACTTGTAACCAACCATGTCAAAACGCTGCGTTTGATATGTAAACCAACTATATAACAATTGGTTTTCTTCATTCTCAATAATAGAATTCTCACGCATTTTTTACTGATTTTTTGTTTCTCTCAATCTTGTGTTTTTCTATTAGATTTCAGTTACAAACCCTTTCAACTCTAATAGCACTAAAGACAGATATTGAGAGGTAACTACACATTACTTGATCCTTGAATATCAATTTTTTTTTTTTTTTTTTTTTTTAAGTTAAACCTTGTTCACTAGATAGACTGATTAAACAGCCTGTCAAGGTTTAAGTATCGTGAAATCAAAAGCTATATAAGAAGGTTTAAATAGGAGAAATATTTATATAAGATGGTCTCACTACATCATCATGCTAACATGGTGGGTGGTTTTATGCAGTGAAATCGAATTGGACAACATCACCACATTAGCACGATGATTTAATCAGAGTATCTCATATAACTTTTTCTCTCTTTATCCTGTAAATATGTGGATGTTATTAATTTGTGCACCCAGTCTACGTTAAGTCTTTCTCTAGCTTTTCAGTTGTATCCTTTCTTGGCCACATCCTAAAAAGGCTTTGAAGGTTTCTTGGCAATTTCCTAAAAGGACCTAAGAGAGTTCCTTAACTCCACTAAAATCCCTTCATTTTCGCTCAATTTACATATCACTTAATTTATTCTAAAGCAGAAAAGAGTGGTAATATTTAAGTGTCAGTGCGCAGGAATAACCCATAATACACTTCATATCACTTAATTTATTCTAAAGCAGCGAACAGTGCTTAATTTACATATAACAATGTTCTTTATAAATTACGTGAAGAGATAAAAGTGATCAAAAGAAAAACTTGACCACCAAGTTGATTAAGCAAACTAAGAGATTCTAAAGCGAACGAAAGAAAATACCATTCAATCACACTTTCTTTTCCTTAATTTATTATGAGAATAGAACAACAAAATTGGAAAATTTTGCAAAGTGGCCTTGCACTACTACCTAATCCAATTTAATTTAACTTTGATTGATCTATACATTGCTGGGAATGTTTGGTGGACTCTGAAATACATTGTGATTTTTCAAATCTTTCTGGTTGCAATCAACCTTTTTTTTTTTTTTTCGGAAGATCGATACCCATTTCTGCTCAAGGTGATTGTTCATAATCATTTTTGTCATATGCTGTGCAAATACTCATAATCCTTTTCTGGTGCGTAACTCTCTGTATAATTTGCGTTGTAATTTTCATTTAAAGGTCTGAATGTTACATGGATGGTTCGTTTTTGATAAAATTACGGACCTTTGCATGAAAATTGCAAATTAATGTGTGTGTGTGTGTATATATATTGATGATACCATTTAGTCTCGTCTATTTCAGCATTTGTTTGAAATAATGCTTTGTTGTGTCTGTTTCACTATTAATTATGTTAGAAGAGTTCCTTATCCGTACGGTGCATTGTAACAAAGAAAACAAAAAAAAAAAAAATATCCAGGAGAGACATGGACACAAGAAGTGGTACTTCATCTCCAACAATACCACATGCATACATAATCCCAATGCCAGGTTCGGAACCAAATATGAACCAGAATGTTACTTCAACAGGATCCGAATCATCATCTCTTTCGACACAAAATGGGAACCAAAATGATATGTCAGTTGGCTCAGCTGAATCATCATCTATTTCGGTAAATAATCCGAACCAGAGTGGCACTTCAACTGGATCAACTCAGTCGTCAACTACTGGATCAACTCAGTCGTCAACTACTTCTGTACAACGTACAACCCAGAGTGATACTTCAAGTAGATCTCAATCATCATCTCCTTCGACACAAATTGATGCTTTAGCTCAAATTGAGTGGCCTCCTTCCCTTTATCTACTTTCTGGTGAGCTCCTCTCATATTTACACACAAATAAATATAAGCCACCACCAAATTGCATTTATTATTCATTTCACTATTCAATATGTTTAAAGTCCATGTTCTATATATATATGCTATTATGTTATAAATCTTTACATTACATATTGAGGGTGTGTTTAATTTTACTAATTAAATCTTAAATCTAATTAGAATTAGAGTTTTGATTGTTTTATTTTATTTTATTTTTTTTTTCAAATTGTCACTTATTTTTAGACATTTTCCCTATATAGGAAAAGCAAAATTTCCTAACTTAATTCTAAAGTCTGAATACTTTTTATACATACATAAATTTTATTACCTAAAGTGCTCCAATATGATAATAAAGATAAATTTAAATAAAATGTTAAAAGGAGATTTTTAATTTGTTTTATTTAAAATATTTTAAAACAAAATTATATTATTAATAATTATTGCACTTTCTAGTGGCCGATACCCGGTCGTTGTCATTGGATTCTAGTGGTCAGGAAATTTTTTGACGAGATTTGGTAACAAAGTTGGTAAATGACCGTATTTTCATCTATGAATTTCGCGGCCAAGAAATTTTTGACGAGATTTGATAACAAAGTTGGTTTTCAAAGGATCGTATTTTCTTACTCTATCCCTACAATTTTTTTTTTTTTTTTTAATCAATAAAATGCAATTTGGTCAAGATTTGACGGAGAAAGTTTACATGAGAAAGTATGTTTCCCAAATTTTCTCTATTTGACCCTGGCCAAACACCACCTTTATGTTAGTTGAAATTTATGAAAGTATATAGATAATTTAAATACGATTATTTTGATATCAAATTTACTTCATCGGTCGGATTCCAGTGACTGATTGACCAAAATTCTCTTTTACAATATTTTATATAATTAACTATACAAGAAAGTATATTAGTAAATGTAACTATAACAGTTTTTATTTAGACATGGTTAGTTAAAAAAACAAACAAACAAACACATCATGCGTCTTAAAATTATGAAGTGTTTTAGTGCAGCTAAATACTATTAAGTGTTCAGAGAAAAACCCAAGAGCTTTATGTTAATTCTACTACACTTTATATCTCTTTCTAATATCCCTACTGTTAACCAAAATATGTTATTGCTTTTCAAGAAAAGAACAGAAACCACAAGTTGTGTTTGGACCTTCATAAGACTGCACTAGAAGGAAATGTGGATGAAGGTAAACGTTTGCTTAGAGAGAATTCAGGATCAAAGGTGTTGCGTGCCGCTATCACAGAAGGACTAGAAACTGTTCTTCATGTAGCAGCAGGAGCAAAACAAACTCGTTTTGTAGAGGAGATGATGAAATATTTGGTTGAACAAGAAGACATGTCGACGCTTTTGTCAATCCTAAAGTTGCAAAACCATAAAAGAAATACTGCCTTCTGTTTTGCGGTTATGGTTGGAAGTATGGAAATTGTTCAGACTATGTTGGATAAGGATTTAAGTCTATTGACAATCCGAGGCGGTCAAAACATGACACCACTCTATCTAGCTTCTGTGTTTGGACAAAGAGAAATTGCTTCATTTCTATACAATAAAATAAGAGACAAAGGAGCTAATGCATTAGAAGAAATATTGACAGCTGAGGACAAAAGAGCTATATTTTTTGTAAGCATCAAGACTACTTTGTATGGTAAGTATATATTTACTTGTTTAATTTGGCTAGGTTTTTACTTAATGTCTAATTCTTTACTTTATATGTTTGAATGGATAAAATAATAATAATAATAATAATAATAATAATAATAATTCTAAAATGCCACGAGGGTATCACGTCATCCATACCACCAATATATGTATTTGTGAGAATATCGATCTTTGATACTAAGTGGTACCATGTTATATGTGCAATCAACCAATACATTATTTCTACATAATCTTTAAAATTTAAAAACTATCAATCTCATACATGATAAAGATTGACGTGATACATTGGTTGATTGTATGGATGATATGGTATCTCAATGGTAATCTAGAATTTATATGCATGTACACCACCTGTGAATAGTCTCTCTCATCAATCTATGACATTAATGTGAGTGGTAGTTAATAATTTAATGTGGCAACAATATATTGGTTGGTGGTACGGTTGACCTGATACCCTGTGGTACCATAAATGTTCTTTGTTAACGTATGTAATATGTATTACATAGCATGCATGATCATATGTGGCTTAGTAAACCAAATTTATGTTTTATTATTGCTCTATATACTACATCTATCTTTTAAAGAGGTGCTTTCTGCTACACCATCTGATAGCAAATATTCGTTTGAATTCCTCAGATCTAGCATACAAATTGTTAGATGATCAAAAAGAATTAGCTTTAGCTTACAACAGTGATGCAACACCCTTGCATCTGTTGGCCCGAACGCCCTTGCATTTGTTGGCGCAAACTCCTTCAGCACTTACTAATGAAAGTGACAAAAGGGATTTGTCAACTCAAGCTCTTGAGCTAGTGGAACTTCTTTGGGAAAAGTTATTGGATCAGACAGATGTGCAAGTCAAGGAATACTTCCATGAACATTCAGATTTATTGTTTGATGCAGCTCACTTGGGGAACTTTGAATTCTTGGCTAGACTCATTCACCTTTATCCTGATTTGGTTCATAAATTAGATGAGCATGATCGAAGCATATTTCATATTGCAATTATGCACCGTCATACTAAAGTATTCAATCTAATATATGAGATAGGCTTCGACAAAGAGTTGATTGCAACGTATGTAGATAAATATGGCAATAGCTTGTTGCATCTAGCTGCAAAATATCCAGATCCAAGACCAATCAGTATGGTGCCAGGTGCAGCTTTAGAAATGCAGGAAGAGTTGATAACCTTCAAGGTAAATATTTTCAATTCATCTTCATTGTTTTATTAATCTTTCTTCAAGAACTTTCTAATCTTTGATGACGTGCTTAAACTAAGTACTCAATTAAGTATTACTTCAACCACATTAGTACTACTTATCTTATTTTCATTCATGCTGAAGTTCGACAAAAGAAATGTTATATAATTGCTCAAGAGAAAAGTTTGAATATGAATTTTCTATTAATCACTATGCAAATTTGTTAGCAAAATGTTAAACTACAAGCCTTTCTTTCCAGTATATAAAATTTATTTTGCGAAATGTTGCATACTTGTCAATGACGTAGGAGGTTGAACTACTCGTAAAGCCTATATATAGTGAAATAAAGAATTCAGAAGGAAAGACGCCTCGACAATTGTTCACTATTGAGCATGCAAACTTGCTGAAACAAGGAGAAGAGTGGATGAGAAATACAGCTAACTCATGTATGGTTGTTGCAACACTCATTGCTACTATTGTTTTTGCAGCAACATTCCAGTTACCTGGTGGTAACAATCAAGGAGGAATACCTATTCATCTCAGAAACATTGTGTTCCATATTTTTGCAATGGCAGAATCGATTGCATTATCCTCTTCTTCAATTTCAATCTTAATGTTTTTATCTATTCTTACATCACGTTATACAGAAAATGATTTTCTCATATCATTACCACGTAAATTGGTGGTTGGAGTCTCAACACTTTTCATCTCTATAGCAACCATGATGCTAGCTTTCATTTCAAGCATTTTCTTGGCTTATGATAAACATAGATCAGATACAATTCCCCTTCTTTGTACTATATTTGTATTTGTGCCCGTGTTTATATTTGTTTTTGTACAATATGAGCTCTTCAAAGATATATCGTATTCGTCATTCCGTCTTAGGTTATCAACTAAGCCAAGAAAATAATGCAAAAGTTCAAAGTTGTATTCTATCATTTCCTATAGTTAAGTTGTAATTTCACTTTTATGATTCATAATAAATTGTGTTTTTTTGCTTATTATTGAGTTTAATTGTTCTTGCAAAATACAATTAATTGGTGGATATTTACTGCTTGATAGATGCATTCATGTTCTTTTAGACAGCACAAGTTAATGGAAAGATATGAGTCAATTATTTAGGTGGCATGTTAAACCCTTCATATATATAAGGAATTCTGAGTTTTTAATGTTGATATTGTGTTCTACTTACAATTACAATTATATATTTTCTACCACACAACACATATATCTAGTGTTATCACAATTTTTTAGCGCTTAGCTTAATGCATTTGAATGATTTTTATCCCATTTAAATTGTTATATGTTTCAAAAAGACATATTAGATTTGCAAGTTTTATTAAATCTCTGACGACCTATAAATAGTTACATAATAATTGTAAGAAAATGCGGTAACCTTGTAGAGAGGCTGATTTGTCAAGACCCGAATGCAATGTGCTTGGAAATATTGTCGGAGTTTTCTGGCTGCAATTATAGGAGCTAGGGCGAGCTTCGATTCTCCTTGACATACCCTGTTTCTGCTTGTGTGAAAGCTTTTATGACATAGTAAACTGATTTTTGTATTCCAAAATCGTTTGTCACTAAGCCAAGAAAATAATAGAAAATTCAAAGTTTTATACAATCATTTCCTATAGTTAAGTTGTAAAGTCAATCTAACCATGTATATCTAATTCCAACAAACTATCATTTTATGATTCATAATATAGATTGTGTTTTTTTCTATTGAGTTTTATTGTTCCTGTGACGAAAAAGGCAATTGGTGTAGATTTACTGCATGATAGCATTCATGTTCCTTTTCTAGGGTAGGTTTTATAGGCTTAGATTGGTAGAGACACAAAAGTTAGTGGCAAAATGTGATTCAATGAATTAGGTGGCATGTTGAGCCCTTCATATGTAAATAATTCGGACATTATTTTTTATGTTGATATTGTGTACAATAATTGTACTTTCTCATTGTAAATAGTTCTGACATCCTGACAGTTCGGTGAGCGAGGGGACAAATCAGTAGTTGTTGCACTTTCTCAATGTGGCAAGGACCTCATGTCAAGATAGGCTTTGGATCTTTTCATGGTTTCCTTCATCCTACATGAAAGGTGCATGCATTTGGTTAGATTAATGCTTTCATAATTTATGAAACGTTCTGATTAGGTCTACAACATCATTCTTGCTAAAAGTAAGCAGTCTTTAGAGTACTTTTTTACTAACACTACATTGGTGAGCCACTGTGGGTAATATTAGTGCACTTATAATATTATTCATACGTGAGTAAACGCCATCTTACCACCTAAGGTTTAGCGAAATCCAAGGTTAGTACCCTTAGTTTCATAAATTCTAGATTCTCATCCTTAAATGAACGTCATTAATGACAGATGTGTTGTGACATTGAAATAGAGGGGTTTTTACTTTTTACCAAACTACAATCAGAACTCCCTTTTTTTTTTTTTTTTTGTAAATAAACTTTTTATAGAAAGGGAGAAAGAATGTAGAAGAGGCCTAAAAACCGGCCAACCTACCTGAAGACAAGCCTTGGGTTAGGAGCAAAAGAATGATACTAGCAAGACAACTCCTAATATTCTCTTTTTTTTCATTTCTCTTGTCAAAGAAATGGAACCAAGCGGAGATTAAAGAATACAAAGAAACCCACCTACCATAGGACATGCCCTGGGTTAGGCTCAATATATAGTATCCAAAAAAACAAAAACCTCCCCAACTCTTCACAATACATTGTATACCAACGAGTGGTAACCTCCGAGGCTATACAACCCATCCACCCCCAGCTTCATCTCCCTTCCTCTTCTTCACTGCCACTAGCCTTTTGGCTGCCTCCCAGCCGGTTTTCATCTGTTCCCCAACCTTAATTGCACCTTCCCCAGCCTCGTTTAACAGAAGCTCTGACCGAATTCTGCCATTTTCCCACACCCACATCCTCATCGCACGACTACCGACCTGAGGCCAAATCAGCCAAATTCCAACATTGTTTGTACCACCCGACTCTACCATCTTCAATCCCTTGGTCTCCCAAACAAAACCCCCAACCTTCTCGACCTTTTGAACCCACCATCATTGGTTTTCGCCCTCCCATTTGTGACGCGTAAACATTCACCATTTCTGGTTGATTCCATCATCAAAAACCTTCCTTGAGACCACCATTGTGTTCACTAGCCAACCCCCATCATCCTCGACCATGGCAGCTCACCGTTCGTCAGCCGCCACCCCATTTAGGGTTTTGCAATTTTGTTGATTTTTTGGTAAATTTGGGGGTCGATTTGTTGTTAATTGTTGTTGGTGTTGATTGATTTTGAAAGTGTGTTGATTGTTTGTTTGATTGGCCGTGATTTTGAGTTGTAATTAGTTTTTCCAGCCACCATCACAACTCTTTTCTCCCCTCCCTCCATCTTGCCCACCAACTGTTTGTTAAATTGCCCCAAGCAAAAACCCAATCAATTTTCGCCCAAACACCCATCAAGCTATTTGTTAAATATGGCATGAGGAAGAGGGTTAGTTGTGACGTGATCAAACCTGAAATGGCGAGGAGGATGGCTGGGAGGTGAACCACAGCAAAAGAGTTATGATTTGACGCCAGAGATAGCGCCAAGGACTGACGTCAGCTAAAGACACAATGTTGGGAGAGATTTTTTTCATAAATTTAAAATATAGTAAAAGACTTTTAGCCTTTAACTGTTAAAAGAAACAAAACAATGTTAATTTAAGGGGGGAAATCTGGAATTTATGAAACTAGGGGTACTAACCTAGGATTTCGCTAAACCTTGGGTGGGAACATGTTGTCTACTCTTTTTGTGCTGAAGAACCTACTGAACTTATTCATTGCTTTTTGGAAGTCTGCACATTGTGGCTATTGAGAACGAGTTATTATAATTATATATCATCAAGATATACATTGATAATTGATGCACTTCAAAAAAGATTAAGCCCTCCTAAAAGAAAAATAAAAAGAAAAAAATCCTCATTCTACCCTTAGATATGGTCGAACTGGTTCAGTCAACCCATGACCTGGCCCCTAGCCGGGTCACAAAATGAATCAGGTTCCTAATCATTGGATATGACCATCACAATTGTAAAGGCTTCCATGTTCAAAACTTATGTGGTTACTTCTCAACAATCTCCTTAGAAGGCTTTAAAGAATTATTTATTAAAACAATGTTAATAATCTTTATAATGATTATGAACGAAGATTTAAAAAAAAATTTCAAGTTGTTCTGCATCTAACAATTTTACTAAGAATGAGGAGGATGGATCATCATTATAGGCTATTTAAGTAGAACGGGTAAGAAAGAAGTTAAGATAAGTTACTAGTATTGCCTAATATGAATTAAGTATATAGATATTGATTATCAACGTGTTTTAACTTTCAATGAGAAAAATGAAACAGTTTATTCTATTCTAGCCAACATGACTTGTGATCTACTAACACCCCATTTCTCGATTGTAGCAATGAGGTTGGCTTTTGGTGCATATGGTAGGGTCTTAGATGAAAGACACTTGAAACACAATATATTGCATTATTAAAGGGTTAATTTCATTCGTCCCCCTATAAAATACTTAAGTCTAGTGGCTCATCGATTTTTTAAAAGTTTGAATAAGCCCCTACCATTTAAAAGTCCTTGGCTCAAGACAAATGAAAAGTATTAGATGATTTTATTACCCTTACATTGTTGAAAAAGAAAAGGATAAAAAAGAGACTTCCAACAAAAGTATCAAAACATCCCTACAGTTTTCAAACCTGCAAAAAAAAAAAAAAAAAAAAAACCCACCATAATAACACCTACAAGTTTGAAAACCTGCAAATAGGCCCCTATGATCAAGGTTTCTTCAATTTTCTCCTCTTTCTTCCTCTCTCCCCTCTATATC